ACACTTTTAAGGTGGTACCTAATTTTCCTACTTGACAGATGCAACTGTCTTTCAGGTTGCAAAGGTTGACAACAGGCTACACAATTGGTTGGAAACCCACTCCAACCCAGGCTGGCTTCGATCTCATGACCTTTTGGTTAGAGCTGACACTCAGCCAGTTGCGCCACAATCCCGGTGCTTTCTGCCCCAAAGGTTAAACAAGATAATTGCTGAAAGCTATCTAGTATTTAATGTTAACTTTGGGAAAACCTAAGGGATAGAGGCAAAAGCTTTCAATTCTCAGTTAAACAAAGAAAAGAAAAAGGAAGCCACAGGTTCAAGTGTCTTCCAACTCATACCCCCACCCCCCAGCTATCTGTCAGGCACACATTCTGCTTCCTGGATTAGATCAGCCCCCAGCATTTGCCACTCTGGATGTGACTCAGCCACTTTTATACCACGACTGTTAGATTTCCTGGACCAGGTACATATTCCTCCTGATCCAGACTGCTTTGGCTGCATGACGTTCTTTTTTAACTACAAAGGAATCCCACCTTCTCCTTAGAGATGGCACAACATGGTTGGCTTGCTTCTTGGAACAGCCTTATTAGAAAAGCCCTTCAGCAGTTTGACATGACTTCACTTGCAGGAAAAGCCCAGTTGGCTTTTCTGACATGCAAGCAAGACAGGAGTGATTCTCCTAATAATTATTTTACCTTGAGATAATGGCAAAAAATCATATATTGTCAAAGGCTTTCATGGCCGGAATCACTGGGTTGTTGTAGTTTTTTTGGGGCTATATGGCCATGTTCTAGAGGCATTCTCTCCTGACGTTTCGCCTGCATCTATGGCAAGCATCCTCAGAGGTAGTGAGGTCTGTTGGAACTAGGAAAAAGGGGGTTTATATATCTGTGGAATGACCAGGGTGGGACAAAGGACTCTTGTCTGCTGGAGCTAGGTGTGAATGTTTCAACTGACCACCTTGATTAGCATATAATGGCCTGGCAGTGCCTCAAGCAATCTTTTTGTTGAGAGGTGATTAGATGTCCTTGTCTGTTTCCTCTCTGCTGTTTTGATGTTTTAATTTTAGAGTTTTTTTAATAGTGGTAGCCAGATTTTGTTCATTTTCATGGTTTCCTCCTTTCTGTTGAAATTGTCCACATGCTTGTGGATTTCAATGGCTTCTCTGTGTAGTCTGACATGGTGGTTGTTGGAGTGATCCAGCATTTCTATGTTCTCAAATAATATGCTGTGTCCAGGTTGGTTCTTCAGGTGCTCTGCTATGGCTGACTTCTCTGGTTGAAGTAGTCTGCAGTGCCTTTCATGTTCCTTGATTCGTGTTTGGGCAATGCTGCGTTTGGTGGTCCCTATGTAGACTTGTCCTCAGCTGCATGATACACGGTAGACTCTTGCAGAAGCGGAGTCTACCGTGTATCCTGCAGAAGCGGAGTTTCCTCTTGTCCTTTACTGAACGAAGCCTTTGTTGTATTTTCTTGGTGGGTCTGTAGATAGTTTGTATTTTCTTGGTGGGTCTGTAGATAGTTTGTATTTTCTTGGTGGGTCTGTAGATAGTTTGCTTCTGCAGGAGTCTATCGTATACCATGCAGCTGTGGACAAGTCACACCTAGCTCCAGCAGACGAGAGTCCTTTGTCATTCCACAGATATATAAACCCTTTCCCCTAGTTCCAACAGACCTCACTACCTCTGAGGATGCTTGCCATAGATGCAGGCGAAACGTCAGAAGAAATGCCTCTAGACCATGGCCATATAGCCCGAAAAAACCTACAACAACCCAAAAAATCATATGCTCATAGACTACTCTTCATAATCTTCAGAAGCTATGTATTAAGAGCTGCAGTGAGTGACATTTTCCCAACATTTTAACAAATTAATAAAAGTGCTAGCATCTAAGAGAATCAGAGTGGACCATTTGACTATCTCCTTCCTTTGCTGATATTTTTATTCCTGGATTTTGTTTAAAAAATAAGAACTTATACAATCTCCAGAAAGCGATTGTGGATTTGGAAAATTCTGAGACAGATAGCATACTCATTGAGCCTATTCATGCACCATCATTCCTAATTTCTCATTAGATTGTCTAGTGGTACTTTAGTGGGGGTTGGCTGCCTAATTGCTCTTTCTGCCTTTAATAATTTTGCCTCAAGATTTGTGAACATTAGTGTCACTGAGAAAGAGGAGATAGAAGGACTGGAGAAAGCCATACTCCGCAATTAGCTAGCAAATGTCTTTCTATGTGGATGGCAGCAACTACCTGGCCACAATGACCTATGGAAGGTTATAGGTATAGCAGTATACCATGCACGGCCTGTTTCTTTTTATTTTTCAGCACATTGTACAGTAAGGATGTGAAAATCAATTCTTTCTCCCACCAGCATTTTTTCTTAGTTCTACATTGAGTTCTAAGAGATTTTTACCCCAAAGAAAAAATGTTTATGTGTAATATAATATATTGTATACACATATAATATTGATAATATTATAGTGTAATACAATATACTACTACTAATAATATGATATTATAATTATATATTTTATATTAAATGCAATATTACTAATAATATTACAGTATAATATTATAGTACAATCTATATAAATAAAAATGTAATGTTCGTTTGTGATATTCACAGAACTCAAAAACCCCTGGGGGAATTGACACCAAATTTGGACACAAGACACCTAACAGTCCAATTTATGTCCTCCACTCAAAAAAATTGATTTTGTCATTTGGGAGTTGTAGTTGCTGGGATTTATAGTTCACCTACAATCAAAGAGCATTCTGAACTCCACCAATGATGGAATTGAACCAAACTGGCACACAGGACTCCCATGACCAACAGAAACACTAGAAGGGTTTGGTGGGCATTGACCTTGAGTTTGGGAGTTGTAGTTCACCTACATCCAGAGAGCACTGTGGACTCAAACAATGATGGATCTGGACCAAACTTGGCACCAATATTCCATATGCCCAAATATGAACACAAATGGAGTTTGGGGGACATTTGGGATTTGTAGTTACTGGGATTTATAGTTCACCTACAATCAAAGAGCATTCTGAATCCCACAAACGACAGAATTGGGGCAAATTTCCCACACAGAACCACCATGAACAACAGAAAATACTTAACACCATCCAGTCCAACTCTCTTCACCGGGGCAAGAAAATGTAATCAGAGCCCTCCTGACAAAGAGCCATCCAGCCATAGATATAGATAGATATGATTCACACACACACAGATATAGTATCATAGATTTGAAAGGGACCCATGAAGAAGGACAATATATGTTGCATATTCCAGAGTAGGCAAACCAGACACTCTCCACATCAACACTGACAAAGAAACATCAAGAAATACAGTGTTTACCCTCAAGCATAAAGACACTACATAGATTAGAAACCAACACTTTCAGATTCGTTTATTTTCCAGATCACCAGACTGGGTCACAGCAACGAATGGCAGTGGATGGCTAATATAATATAATATATTGAATTTGGAATATAATATATTGAATATATTGAATATATTGAATTTGGAACAAGTGTGAGGAGGAGTTGTAATCTTTTAAAGGTCATAGTTGCACATCCTTTTATATGGACCACATTGCATCAAAGTGGCATTGAGTAGACATGTGTCAAAAAGCTATGTTACTTACACGGAGAGTATATACTATATTGTATACTAGATATAATATAGTATATTGTGTATACAATATAATATATTGTATACACATATAATATTGATAATATTATAGTGTAATACAATATACTACTACTACTACTACTACTACTAATAATAATAATAATATGATATTATAATTATATATTTTATATTAAATGCAACATTACTAATAATATTACAGTATAATATTACAGTACAATGTAATATATAATATTAATATTGTGCTATGATAATAATATAATATATTGTATTTACTTTTTATGTGTAAGCCGCTCTGAGTCCCCTTCGGGGTGAGATGGGCGGCATATAAATGTCGTAAATAAATAAATAAATACTGTAATACATTTTGTATATGTTTAATGGCAACTTAAATAGAGGTGAATTGGGGTGTAACTCAACTCTGAAAGTCCACACCCTGAAAGTCCACACCCGCTTTTCCCCATCCCACCCCAACAACTGAGTGGCATTATCTTGGCCCCCAAAACCCAGGTAGGTGCTCCCGAATATTTGGGGGGGGGGGGTTTATTTCCAAACAGAAAATGAATGGATGATCACTTTCTGTTTGGCAATATTTGGGCTGAAAAAGGACGAGGGCTCACCTGAAAGATCTTTGAATCAGTTTCTATGCCATATCATGCTGGTGAGGAGATATTCCCCTACACCTTCAATAGGTACAGATTTGTGACAAAAAATTTGGTTAGATGGGTGCCCAAACCAATCTGGCCCCACTTTGCTAAAAGGGGAATTGAATGGATATCTATTTGTTGATGTGCCTGGAATTTCACATGGACATTTCCATCTGCTTTTTTGAGTTTTATCTCCATTTGCTTTTTTGAGTTTTATTGTTGTATTTGTTATGCTGTTGTTTTATTGAGGGCCTTGGCCTTTGTAAGCCGCACCAAGTCCTTCGGGAGATGTTAGCGGGGTACAAATAAAGATAATAATAATAATAATAATAATAATAATAATAATAATAATAATCTGGGCAGCGCACATGGCTTAAAAAGGATTGGGACCCTAGTTGGTGACTGAGATAGAATAGAGAACAGGAGGCGAACACTTGTTAGAGGGAAAGCCCCACTTATTACTATAGGACTTTTTTCTGAATTAGCATCCAAAACAGGACATTGCATATATCCTAGACCCCAGGGCCACTCACTCCCTGCTGGTTTAATCTCAGCTCTTTTTCATTTCTCTGCCCACATTATTTCTGGAATGGTTAACAAGAAAATTAGGTCACAAAGACTTTTAAAAGCTTTGAAGAATGAAAAGATGTTTCCGAGATGTTTTAGCTGCCATTTGATTGTATACAACTGTTGCAGGCTAAAGAAGACACTGAAAATTTGGGAGAAGAGATGAGAGAAGACTTCATATGCATTTCTCTGAAGAGTTGTTTGGATCCCTGGGGAAATCCCGCTAGAGACAAACAAACAAAAAAGTCATCTATTGCTCTCTTTTTTAAAGAAAAAGTAAAGAAAAATGTAATGTGGATCAATTATTAAACAACCAAATTTGAGGAATTTTCCTCCCTGAAATGTATTATTCATAACTAGTGAGAAAACATGAATCCAGCAGTGCTTTATTTACCTGTTTCATCCGACTGAGAAATGTAGTTAACAACATTCTCCTTTCATCCTTGTAATCAAAGAAATGTAGCCAACTGTTCATTTCTGATCTCATACTTTTCATGGTGCTATGATGAAATCCAGGCTGGTCTTCTCTCAGTGCTACTCCACCTTTTAGAAATCATCTTGAATAATCCGGCCCCCATTATTTCCCCCCACAAATCTGGGATTTTTTATTCAACTGAGTCCACCCACCCATATAATGGGTCCTTCTTGCTACCCACATCTTTTCCAGAAGGTGTGAAAATCCTCTGAAGCACATTTAGGAAAGACCGCAAATAGTGTAGGATGGAAGTCAATTTGCCAACGGGTAGATAGCTTGCATTGTTTCATGTAACCCAAAGAAATGGAAGCATCATGAAGAAACGCCAAACACAAATATTATGTTCTGATGGCTTAAGGAAGATGACATAGGACACCACGTGGAAGAAAAATATGATTCTTTTTCCTTGCATTGTTTGTTGTTGTTGTTGTTGTTCATTCGTTCAGTCATCTCCGACTCTTCGTGACCTCTTGTGGTTGCCATAAATATACCACTATTCATGACTTGTTGTGAATCCTTATAAGCACAATAAATTTATTCCTATACCTATGACAAGTTGAATGAAATCTTTTTTTTAAAGAATTTTATTATATTTTCGACAATACAGCGAAAGAGTGAGAACAATAAAAGTAAAAGAAAAGAGAAGAAAAAGGAAGAGAGTAGAGACATAGAAAAAAGTGCCGAAAAAAGTTTAAAAACAGCAATAATAAAAAGATAAAAAAACAGCTCCAGAAAATAATAAAAAAGGGGTAAAAATAAAAATAAAAATGACTTCCATTCCATCTTTTTGGAAATTATCTTTCTCTCATGAAAATTTTTTAAACTTCTCAAAAAGAAAAATTGTCTCTCGTATTTAGTTTCGTTTTTTCAAATTTTCCAGATAGTTATCGAGAGGGTCCCAATTTGTCCTCTTTGAAATATTACCTGTGTTTTTCTTCAAGAAGAAAGTCAGTTCGTCCATATCTTTTATTTCTCTAATCTTCCCTATCCACTCTTCTATGGGTGGAATTGATTCCTGTCTCCATTCTCTTGCAAAAACAATCCTGGCGGCTGTCGTAAAATATGTAAAAAGTTTATCTTCTTGTTCGTTTAGTTGTAAATCCAAATCCGTAAATCCTAATAGATAATATTCTGGTTTTTTCATAAAACGTCTTTTGAATGAAATCTTGATATGTGCAAGAAAAGACAGAAATAAGATCAATGATACTGATTACCACACAATTTGGGACAGATACAGGGAAGCATCTCTTCACACCACACTTAAATAACATATGGATTGAACACTACCACAAGATGTGCCTTACGATGACTACAAAATTTATGAGACTATAAACCATTCAGGATGGGGATAACAACTGTTATGAGACCTGGTAGCTAAATAGAATTTTTAAGTGTAAAGACAATATAACTTTGAATTTTTCATAGTCAAGTCATTTGATGGGACGGGATTGTTACCTTCCTATTCATTATCCTGGATTTTTTTTAATGGCAACAGGGTAGTAGACAAAGGTGTTGAGGGCCGCCAAGACAGGTTTGTACTGTCTCAATTTCATTCTAAAGCTGCACATTTTTGGTACTCTCATGAAATGCGGACATTTTATTTACATTTATTTATTTATTTATTTATTTACAGCTTTTATATTCCGCCCTTCTCACCCCGCAGGGGCGGATTACAGTGTACACATATATGGCAAACATTCAATGCCAATTTTTGACATACAAACATATACAGACATACACAGAGGCTATTTAACTTTTTCTGGCCGCCAGGGGAGCTGTCGCTTTCATCGTCCATCTGCGATGCTGATGAAGCACTTCCGCATTCCCCGCATGCTTCCCCGCTGGAAATGCTTTGCTGGAGTCTTCTTTATGGCCTCATAAATCAGTTAATTTAGCCTCCCCACACTTTAAGGTGGTACCTAATTTTCCTACTTGACAGATGCAACTGTCTTTCGGGTTGCAAAGGTCGACAACAGGCTACACACAATTGGTTGGAAACCCACTCCAACCCGGGCTGGCTTCGAACTCATGACCTTTTGGTCAGAGTGATCTTTAATGCAGCTGACACTCAGCCAACTGCGCCACAATCCTGGTTTACAATATACCAGTAAATGATTAACTGTAGATGAAAATGGAAAAATTGTTAAAGTAGACGTAGGCAACTTAGGCAGATCCAAGAGAATAAGTGCTCTCTCTCTTTCTCCCTCCCCTTGATATGGGCTCCCCATATTTGGTGGTCACTGGAATTTGGTGGTATAGGTCAGGCAAGCTGCATAAATGGAACTGAAAAACCAGATGTGACTTGTTGCTGCTGTTGTAGACATTACATCCATTTTTAAAAAATCCTTATGTAGATCTCATGGGCAAAACAAATATGCCTCCTTCCCTACATGATCCATGCATGTGTTAAAGCATTACTGCTGATCATTAGTCTGCCTATCTTGATAAGCATTATAACTAAATATTCTCAAATTTGCTGAATGCTATTACTTGTGAGCAGAGGCTGCCCTAGGTAATTTTCAATGGTAAGCAAACAGTATTTTGCCCCCCCCCCCAACCACCCTTCCAGTATTTTCTGTTCGTCGTGGGAGTTCTGTGTGCCATATTTGGTTCAATTCCATCATTGGTGGAGTTCAGAATGCTCTTTGATTGTAGGTGAACTATTAATTCCAGTAACTACAACTCACATATGTCAAGGTCTATTTTCCCCCAAGAGCACCTCAAGAGCGCCCCTGGGCAAAATCAACTATACTGCAATGCTTACTTTGCGTAATGGGTTGAGCCGCCCCTGCTTGTGAGACAAATCCTGTGAATATCAGAATGTAGACAAATCCTGTGAATATCAGAAATAATACAAAAAAAAATCAAAATTTCCATGCCAATGTCGATATTCACCAGACTTAGAAAATATATTCAATATGCTTAGAATTGTAAATCTGGAGTGGACTGGGTCAGCTATTCCAAACTGCCACTCAATGTAGAAAACAGATTTGGTGAAACAGCCTATGTATATGTATGTCCTTCTTACAGTTGTGACTTAGTTGCTAACTGTATACCTCTGTCTGGACTGGGTTACTCAAAGCATTCAGAGGATGGGAAGGATGGCTTTTGCACATACAAAATATAGCAATTCATTCATACCATCTTATGTGGACAAATATTTCATAAGATGGCATGAATGAATACCCCACAAGGTCCCTCGATTGTTAAATGTGGAGACTTCCATGTGTTTGAAGCATTCAAGCATGTAAGTTCCCATTTGAATTTGAGCATGATATTTTGAAGATTATATTTTGTTTACTCTCATATTCACATGTGATTTCCACCTAGAACTGGCCAGTGTAGTAGACCACCAGGGGCTTTAATAAATCTATCAAAAAGATTTATTTTTTAACTCTCAACCATAGTCTTGAGAGCTCCTTTATTAAGGGTGGTTCTACATCAGTGGCTCCCAACCACTTTGACCAGGGACCACTTTGACCAGGGACTACTCTCCAACATTAGTACCAAAAGAGTTACAAATCAGTTTTTGGTCAACTTTAGATTCAGTTTGGTTATTTGGAGTGCTGATTCAGAAAATTGCATTTGATAGACAACATCAGCTCTAATTTCTGATACAGAACATATGCCATCTAGTAGATGCCATCTGCTCACCCATGGAAAACCATATTTAGTAATCTAGAGATGATGTGGACTATCCAATGCAATTTTCTGAATCCGCACCCCAAATAACCCCAGGAGCAGCCCTAAAAATCAAGGCACCCCTTCTTCCAGGTGCCACATGGATTAGCTCCACTCAGGGGGAAGGAGGAGGAGGAGAATCAGTAGTCAGGAGCAGGGCCGTAGCCAGAAAAAAATTTCGGGGAGGGTTGACAATTTCGGCGGGGGGGGGGGGGGGTTGAAAATTTCGGGGGGGGTTGAAATTTCGGGGAGGGTTGAAAATTTCGGGGGGGGGGGGAACCTGCCCTAGCTCACGCTGAAGCAAAGAGCACAGCAGGGGGCAGAGCAGCCTTCCATAGCCTGCAGCTCCGCCCCTGTCAACCACCTCCACCAAGTCTGGCCTCCTTAATGAGAGCATTCAACACACACACCCCCAACTTGGTTGCTTCACTACATCGGCTATTGCTGCAAGTAATGACAGTGTGAATAAATTGTCAATATTTGCTTGAGATAGTGCTTACAGTTCTGAAGGGACTCTTAATTTTTTGCATCTCATAGACTTAGCATGGGGATTTGGTTAACCAGTTAAAATTCATGAGTAAACCAGTTTTTTTTAAAAAAACTGAAACATTTCGGGGGGGGGTTGAACCCCTAAAACCACCCCCTTGCTACAGGCCTGGTCAGGAGTCTTTTTTGGGTAGTCAGCTCCCCCCTTCCCAATATTTATGTATTTATTATTTATTTCGAACATTTTTACCCCGCCCTTTTCAACCCCTAGGAGGACTCAGGGCGGCTTGCAATTGGCAACAATTCAATTCCTCTTCATAAAATACAAATAGCAAAAATAACAATTAAAAACATGAACATTAAAATAAAAAATTAAACAGTATACTTACGATCCATTTAGCTATTGCCAGTCTGGTGGCTGTTTTTCTAGTCATATACTAACAATTACTCCGCTTCACTTATCCAAATCCACTTCCAAGCCATAGTCAAATATTATCCATTGTCCTTTAACCTGATTGCCCGAAGGCCTGGTCCCACAACCACAATTTTATCTTCTTTCTGAAGGTGAGGAGTGATGACGATGATCTAATTTCCCCGGGAAGCGTATTCCACAGGCAGGGGGCTACCACCAAGAAGGCCCAGTCCCTTGTCCCCACCAAACGTGTTTGAGACAATGGTGGGGCCAAGAGCAGGGCCTCCCCAGAGGATCTTAAGCTCCGAGGTGGGACATAGAAGGAGATACGTTCGGACAGGTATGCTGGACCGGAGCTGTATAGGGTTTTATAGGTCAAAACCAGCACTTTGAATTGTACTTGGAATTGGATCGGCAGCCAGTGAAGCTGACACAACAGGGGGGTGGTATGCTCCCTGTATGACGCTCCGGTGAGTAATCTAGCTAATTGCAGTTTCCGAACAGTCTTCAAAGGCAACCCCTTTGAAGACTGTGATTCTATGATTCTATAAACCCCACATAGAGCGCGTTTCAGTAATCTATTCGGGATGTGACAAGAGCGCGGACCAGCGATATCCCAGTTACCTCAGCATTATAAGGGTTTCACGAGACCAGTCACTCTTGTTGCAATGATGTGGTAACAGTGAGCTTACGGACCATATTTTCATTCTGAGGAACCATTGGTGATTCACAGACCACAGGTTGGGAACCACTGTTCTACATAGCCATAGACAGACACTATATCACAGTTTGAAGTGAACTGGAGGGCAGGGAGTCCACAAAACAAAATGTGGGGGAAAGTGCTTAGGTTTGTTAGGTATTTCCCATTTCAGCCAAGACATAGTCATTGATTCTGTTGTCACACTTTTAAAAAAATGAAATTGCTATCTGTGAATCATGCAGAGGGCAGATAGGGTGAAAAAAGCCTTTT